CGGGAGGACTTGCTTCCCGTCGCGGGCAGGTGGGTCCCCTGGGCGGAGGGCGGGGGGGAGGGTGTCCCTCGGGGCATCCCATCCCGCAGCAGGGGCGGGGGGCTTTCACCGAGGGGGTTTCCGCCTCTCTCGTCCAGAACCGGGGAGCTGGAACCCCGCAGAGGAGCCCTCGGGATGCGCGCCGAGGTGAAGCCGGGTGAGATGCGGTACGGGTGGGGGTGCCCGTGGGGAGATCCTGCTACACCCGATTGCCCGGGCCGGGCCTCCAGGCCAGGGAGTCCCTTATTCCTTCCTTTCTTCCCTTGCTTTTTTCCCGGATCCCGCGGCCAGGAGGCAGCCAAGCCGTCGGTCCCCGCGGAAGTACGCAGCGCGCGGGCGTCCCGGGCCGAAGGGACCCGCAGGAGTTGCACGTCCCGAGCCTTCCCGGGGGTCACCGCTGCGCGCACTTGATGCTTTTCTCCAACCCTCGGCTCTGCCTCTTCCCGGGCCCTTGGCCCTCGCGTTTTGGCCTTCCTGGGTGCCCAGCCCATAGCCCTCCTTCGAGCGTTTCCAGAGTTGATACCAGGGCGTCCAGATGACCTTAGGGGCGGCCCCGGGATCTCCCTGTCCTCAATGGAAAGGGGGTTCCTTCCAAATGCCTCGGAAATTCAGCCCCAGAAGACCCAGGGCCCGGTACGCAGGGGTGCCCTCGCCCTCGCCTTTTTGCCAGCTGTGTGCTAAGCAGAGAACCGTGTGGGGGAAAAGAGGGTTGGGGACCCAAGTTTGGCATTTCAAGTGTTGGGGGAGAAGGGAACGCTGATAGCACGATCATCTTGAAACTTTTGTGCTTAATGTACAACAGGAACTCAGAAAAGGGCAATGAAACGCTCCTGCTTTCTCAGGACCCCTTGGCTGCTGTGGCGACACTTCTAGTCATTATTATTATTATTATTATTATTATTATTTTGGTGTCCCCACAATCCTGGGCTGGTTTTGCTCCCCAGAGAGCAACGGAACACGCCTCGGACATTCCAGCGCGGGCAAGGGGAGGGGTGTGTGATGTTTGAGGAGTTGGCTCTGGCCGTCACCGCAGCTGCGGGAGGGTGGCGCAGGGAGGTGGTCTCTAGGCGCCCGGGGGATCTGGTTACCTGGAATTGGTCCAGGAGACCGCGTGCTGCGCTCTTGGGGGGGGGGGGGTGTCGGTCAGTTTGGGGTTTGGGTTTCCTCTTGCCTGATTTAGTGGGAGGGAAGGGGCCAAGGAGAGCCGAAGACTCACAGCCAGTAGGAAACAGGCCTCTGCGCCCAGAACCTCCACCTACTAAACAAGACCCTTCTGTGGCTCGGATCCACCAGGGAGCCCGGGACTAGTGTCAGCTCTGCTTCTCCCCCTCCTCACCCCCCAAAAAGTCCAGTTTTCACATCCCCAATACAACAGTTCAAAACCAAGGCCCACCCCGCAGCGGTTGGTGGAAGAGAGTTGCTTCTCCATGGAGAAGCCAGGCGGGCGAAACAAACGCGCTCCTCACACAGGCCCTGTGCGCTTCAGAGTTTATAGAACATTTTCCACCCACCCGTCCAGCTCTCCTAATCTTGCAAAACCCAAGCTCCAGGCCACAAAGGCCTGGTTCTCCAGAGCCAGGCAAAGAAATGGAGACATTGGAAGAACCAAGTCTCTGGTCCAAGGTCAACATTAGGGACCACCCAGCCCTAGACGGAGCCCTTCGGTGTGCGCCCTAGGGTTCCCTCCTGCAACCCCCTAACCCTCTATCTCTGGGTCTGGGGTCTTCCAGCATCCTCCCCAACCCCTTGCCCAGGGAGGGATTATTCACCATCAATTCTGTCATCTCCGACACAGGCAGGGTTCGGGGCTGGGGGTCCAGGCTCTGGAACGGGCTTGTTTTCAGATCCCAGTTGGCTTCAAGAAAGCTCCCCGCCTCCCCACCCCCCAGGAACCAGCTGTTTAGACGTTCTCTGCCCGCCCCCCACCAACACCCACGCGCCCACCCCGCCTCTCCTGCGCCCCTCATGGACAATGCTCTCCCTAGAAACCAGATTATAATAAATAACCTCAAATATAATTCTTAATTGCTTCCAAGTCGATGTTTCCTCATCACTAAACTTTACTGCTTCCCAATCTTTAGAACAAACTCCCCTAGGGACTCTGTCCCTTTCGGGGGAAACAGGCGGAGAACAGCAGCCTGGGAGAGTCGATCAGGGGTGTCCAGGGCCGGGAGGATGCGCGCGGGGGTCAGGGGTCCTCGGGCCGTCTGCGCCCCGCCCCCAGTCTGGGAAGGCAGCACCGGCGGGCGAGGGCTGGAGTTTCCCATCTGCTCGTCGCCCCCTACAGGCCACATCTGTCATCGCAGCGGGAGCCGGCACAGCCCTGCGTGCATTCTGTTCTAGACTTGGGTCGCCTTTCCCGGGACCGGTGGGTCCGCTCCCCCTTCGCGCGGGGACTTGAGGGCAGGGTCCCCCCCCCCCGGAACTCTGGACTGAATTGCCTCTCTAGGAAAGAGAGCCGAGGAGAGTGGAAACCAGTTTAAATACATGTGTCGCCCATATCTAAAGTCCTCCCCATTAAAAAAAAACAAAATACAAGCCTCTTTTGCCCTCCCTTGTTAAAATATATATATATATATATATATATATATATTTTGGTTACAAATAAAGTCTGCCTACGTGGAACCACAAGCGGATATCAGACGTGCCGTCTCTAAATCACAATGTAAAAGGAAATTTCAGAGTCTATTCTGGTGGCTGCGTTGAGTGCTATGAGGTGCGAGTTTGAAGCCCTCTCCCCTTCAACCCCCCCCCCCCCCAGCGCTTGCATTCGTCCCGCGTGATATTTGCCTTCGCTTTTTCTGCTCGAAACGTTTGTGGTTTAAGACGCGCAAACCGAAGAGAGCTTTTCACGTGGCTATGGCTAGCCTCTCTCCTTGGTATCTTGGTATCTGCCAAGACTTTTTAACAGCTGCTGGCTGATTTAGGCTCTGGATGAGCGTCATCACCCTCCAAGAAATAAAAGGGAGCATCTCCAGGCTCGAGTTCAAGGTTAAGAAGCGGCTGGGAGAAAGTTGCTGGCGGCTCTCTCCACTCCATCCCGCCGCGCTTAATGCATCGCTGGAAAAAGTCCTGCGGATCTTAAGCGGCGGCTGGTGGCCGAGTGTCACGCTGCGGGCGCAGGCTCGGCCGGTATTGCTGCTATGCGCGGAAATATGAGCGAGTAATTTTATAAGTAACAAAGGATCAGGGATGGAATGAGGCCCCTGTTATCCAATGTCATTTAGAAGCCTTGGATCAGCAGCTTCTTGAGGCTAAAAGTGAATTCAAGAAGCCCTGCCTTTCCCTTTTCCCAGGGGTACCGGCTAAATTTAGAAATAACCTCTATGTGTTTGCACAAATCATGTGCCATTTGCTGTTTGTGTAAAAACCGATTAGCCAGACACAACTGTGAAACAACTTGTTACTTTTATAGCTGCATCTCACAAACAAATTTAGATCCCTCCAATCTTCCTTGTCAAAGGAGATGGGAAGGAACCAGCCGGGAGCCTGTGGTCCAAGGCCCCTTCTCGGCGAAGGTTACTGACGCTCGGCTCTGCTGGGCGGTTGATGATCGGGTTCTTGTTTGTCAAGATAAACTATCTCACCGCCCCGCTCGCCCGAGCGAGCGCGCGCAGCTCGTTTTATTTTAGGACCCTGATCCCGAAGGAATGTTTACTTGGGACACTGGAACGGTGACTGTTGACCAGATTCGGTGTTTGCGAGGAAATGCCTTTCAAAACAGCGCCCGGGCCCGCGCCCACGGGAGGGAAATAAGATTGGAATCCGCAGCGGGAACATCTCCGCCACCCGGAGACAGCGGGACCCGAGCTCCAGGGGCTAGCGGGGTCCCCGCAACCGGGACGCGCACAGGGCCAAGCTGCCGGCTCCGCTACCTTTCCAGTTTTACAAAGCGATTTCGCATAAGTAATTGTAACAGCTAAATTAATTACATAATAATTAGAATTGATGTGGTTGGAAGATTTGGTGGTGGCAGCGGCGAGGAGGGAAGCCGGCTTCCCCTGTCTGGATGTTTCATTTCTACCCTCAAAGAAACCTTTTAAGGTTGCAACAGCTGAAATGCACATTTAAAATAACCTGGGATGACATCGCCCACTTTGGTCCCCTCTTTTGCATTTCATTTTAACTTAGCCTAAGGGGTGGATGTATAAAATTGTTGAGGGGATGATATGCACCTGTTTTTAAAGGGCACTGAGGCCACTAGACCTTGGTCTTAGAAAGGCAATGGGTTGGAGGAAAGGATAGCTATAGGAATTATTCAATAAGGAAAATTACGTAGTTGATTATTGCCTTGCTAAAGAGGTATCTTATTTGAAAATACTATGAAAAAAGAAATGACGATGCACTATACCTATTATCAAATTAATAGACACTCCATTGCAGAACATAAAACTCCAAAACATACACCTTTAAAAAAAAAACTCTTTTCCTTTTTTAAAAGGGGGGGATGAGATAACATTAAAAAAAAACCCTAAGCTTTAAATGCAAAATGGGGGCCCAGTTTGTAATTTACATTCTTTTGAAAGGATAACTGAAGTGAACAAAAACTCCTTTGGTATAAGTTTGCATTTGTAGAAGATGGAAGTCTGGTATTTTGAAGAAAATTGAAAAGGACTGTGGTGTTGTTTAGAAATCAGTTGGTTTTTAAATGGCAGCTCATTTTATCTACAGAAATGTCTGGTCATTTAAATTTAATGGACCAGTTGAATGACCATCGCCCATATCCTGAGTTTGAGGGAAAAAGAAAAGAAGAAATACAAATACAATTGAAATGAACCATATTCCTTCCTTTGTCCAATGATATTGTTCTGACAAATTGTGAATTAAGATTTGAAAAGGTTATTACTTGAGATTCCTCGAATATCTGGGAAAGATAAAAACGCGAAAAACCGCTTCAATCTTTTAACCTTTACCTCAGATACCTAAATAAAACACTAGGCTCAGCATTTTAAAAATTTATTTACAAAGTTGTGTACAACACGACGGAGTAACATTTAGAATACCATATATCTTCATTCATATATAAACAGACTTTTATAATAGAATGCCACTTTCGCCTCTTGAAAATTTTTTTTATATTTAAAATCTCCCAATGTCTCTATACATTTTATTTCTCACATAAAACTGCGGAGAGTGAACCTTCAAAAAAACGAAAGTTCAGAGCTCTAATTCTACTGGAATTTTTTTTTTCTTAAAAAAATAAAAACCCCAAAAGGAAAGTCGATAATTTTTATACAAATATGTACAAATAATTCCCCTCCCCTCCCCAAGGGACTCGAGGGCGGGCGCCGTCCGGGTGCAGAGGCGGACAATTCGCTTTTCGGGGTTACCTGTGCGGAAAGCTATTCCCGGCAGGCGGGCGCGCGGCGGGCTGGCTCCGGCGGACCGAGGTGAGCGCGCGGGGCTGGGCCGGCGGCCGCCGGCGCAGGTCGGCGTCCAGGGGGCGCGGGGAGGAAACGGTGCACCGGCCGAGTCCCGGATCGGGCCGAGGCACCGGGCCCGGCGCGGGGCGCGCGGCCCGGAGGTGCAGCCGGCGCCCGGGGCCGCCGCCGGACCCGGCGTCCGGGCCACCGGCGCGTCCCTATTGCGCGGGCCACTTGGCTTGCGCGGCGGCGGCGGCGGCGGCGGCGGCCGAGGCCGCGGGCTGCAGGAACTGTCCCGAGAGCGGCACGCTGAGGATCGGCGCGATGGTGGCCGTCGTCCGGCTCAGGGACAGCGGCTGGTGCGTGGCCATGAGCGCCGCCGACTGCACGGTCCCCGGCGGCCGCAGGAACGACTGCGCCGCGCCCCCGCCCCCGCCGCCGCCGCCGCCGCCGCCGCCTCCCCCGGTCCCCGCGGCCACCCCGGCGCCCCCGGCGCCCGCGGCCGAGCCCCCGGGCGCCGCGGGGCCCCCGCCGATGATGTTCTCGATGCTGAACGACGGCCGGGCGCTGGGCTCCGACTTGATGAGCGACGCCGTGGTGCCCGCGGCGCCCGCCGTGCCCGCGGCGGCCGCGGCGGCGCCCAGGCTGTTGAGCTGCAGCTGCAGGCCCGGGCCGAGCTGCGAGCCGAAGGCGGCGGCTTTGCGGCCCAGCTCGCCCGAGGGCAGCAGCGGCACGGCGGGCGGCAGCACGGGGGCCACGGGCGGCAGCGCGTACGGGTACTGCAGCGCCGCCGCCGCCGCCGCCGCCGCGGCCGCCGCGGGGTGCGAGTAGGCGCCGGCCGCGGCCGCGGGGTGCAGGCCGTAGGGGCGGCCGTAGGGCCCCGCCGCGCCCGCCGCCGCCGCCAGGCTGTAGGCGCCGAAGCTCTGCATCATGAGCGCCGTCTGCTCGCGCAGGTGCTCCTGCTGGTGGCGCTTGAAGCGTTTCCGGCGCCGCAGGAAGCTGCCGTTGTCGAACATGTCCTCGGACTGCGGGTCCAGGGTCCAGTAGTTGCCCTTGCCCGGGTTGCCCGGCTCGCGGGGGATCTTGACGAAGCAGTCGTTGAGCGACAGGTTGTGGCGGATGCTGTTCTGCCAGGCGGGGAACTTCTCCCGGTAGTAGGGGAAGCGGTTGCTGATGAACTCGCAGATGCCGCTCAGGGTCAGCTTCTTCTGCGGGCTCTGCAGGATGGCCATGGTGATGAGCGCGATGTACGAGTAGGGCGGCTTCACCAGGCTGTTCTTGGGCTTGCTGGGGGCCAGGCCGCCCGCCGCCCCGCTGCCCGCGCCCGGCCCGCCGCCGCCGCCGCCCTCCTCGCCGCCCTTGCAGCCGTCGGCGGCTTCGGACGCGCCCGCCTCGACCCCCGGCGCGGCGCCGGACGCTTCCTTGGGCAGCGCCAGGGGCTGCTGGTGCGGCGGCTGCGGCTGCCCGTGGTGCGGCGCGGCCGGCGTCACCTCGTCCGCCTCGTCCAGGCGCAGCTCGGGCGGCCCAACGGGGCTGTCGCAGCCGGCGTCGCTGTCCTTCTCCTCCAGCCCGTCGTCGCCCTCGCCCACCACATCGATGTCCACGTCCTCGGCCGTCAGCACCGTCTGGCCGGACATGTCGCTGGCGCTGCCGCCGCCGGAGAGGGTCATCCCTCCTCGGGGTGGGTGGCGGCGACGAGGAAGGAGATGCAGGCGACGGGGCTCGGCACGGGCGGCTCGCCGGGCACGGGGCAAGGGGGCTGCGGGGGCCCCCCGGAAGGCTGGGGCGCGGGGAGTCGTGGAGGGGGGGTGGGCGCGCGCGCAGGTGGCTCGGGGCACGCCCGGCTCGGCTCACTCTCGGCGGCCCCGCATCGCGCCCGGCGCTCCGCAAACTCCGGGCTGGGTCCGGTCGCTCGGTACTAGACGCTCGGGGCGGCTCCCGGGGCCCCGCGGCTGCGGTGGGCGCCGCGCCCCCTCGCTCCGCCGGCCTCGGGCCCCGGGCGCGGGGCGCAGCGGCGGTGCGGGCGGGCGCGGGACGCCGGGCGCCGGGCGGCTCGGGAGGGCGCGCGGGCAGGGGCCACGGGGGGCGGGGGTGTCGGGGCCGCCGAAGCCCCCGCAGTGGAAAGTCGCGTTTTAAGGACTGGCCTGATAGATTACTTTCTACTTAAAGATCCAACGGGAGGCGGGGCCACGTGACCGCGCGTGACGTCAGGGCCGCCGCCGCGCCGGCCAAACTCAAGTTGGTGCGGGCAATTGTCAACAAAGGGACCAGGGACGCGCACCCCGGCGCCGCACCGGCCGCCCGCGGCCCCGGCCGCCCCCCAGAGGCGCCCCGGCCCGCGCCGGGACCTCCCCGGCCCAGGCCCGGAGCCCGGCGCGGGGGGCCAGGGAGCCGGTGGGTCGTGAGTGCGGGCGGGAGGGTGTGAGCCGGTGCCGGTGCGGGCACGGGCCGGGGAGCGCCCCCCGGACCCCGCGGCGCGCTTGGGCGGGCCTCCCCGCCCCCTCGCCCTGCCCCCTCCCCTCTCCCGGGTGCCAACTCTCCCCAGGCCGACGGCCGGGAATGGAGAACGAGATTCCCTTCTGCTTTTGGGGTGGGGGTGGAGGGTTGGGTGTAAGGGGAAACTTAACAGACTGTTTTGCCTTTTTACATTTTTCTGTGTAGATTCTTTGGAGATCGAAAGAGCAAGGGTTGTTGCGCCCGGCTCCGCCGTCTGGCTAATTAGATTTCAAACACTTTTCCCTTGCACCCCAGCTCCCGCCTCGGTGCTCCTGCGGTGCAGACACCTATGGGTGGTGATGCGCTCTGCCCGCACAGACGAACCACGCAGGCCCTGCCTGGCCTTCCCGTTTCGATGTGAACGTGTGTGTGTATGTAGGTGTACCCACGTACTTTCACACACGCGCGCTCACACAAACACACACACAAACACAGACACACACACACCTATCCCCGCCCCACCCCCGCGTGGTCACCCTAGCCTCAGCTGGGGTTCCCAAGATCAGAAAATGGCTATCGATTAATCTATTCATTGATAGTCGCCAAGAGAAAATTTTACAGCGCCGTGCAATAACGGGGAACCTATACCTGAACGAGGCGGAACTCTCCAGTGCGGGTGCTTAAACGACTTAGCAAGTGAAAAAGTCGGAAGTGAGGCTCGGGGGAAGGCGCGGGATTGGCACGGCCTGGGTAAGTGAGTGGGGCCGGCCGAGGTCGGGGCTTCGAGGTGGAACGATGCACCTGGGCTGGGACTGAACTGCGCCACGACCCGACGCGGCGACCTCGCCGGCGGCCCGACAGGCCTCCTGGGAGCGGGGGCGGCCTGGGGCCAGGGGGCGGGCTACGACGCTCTTGGTCGCTGCCTCTCTAACGTGGATTCTTTCCTCGGAAGGAGCAGGACAAACCCTCGGAGAAGGAACTTCTGCGGGAAGCCAGCAGCCGAGCGGCTGGAGGCGGCGGTGAGTGGACAAACGTTTCCCGGGAAAAGCGAGCCGGTGATGGGTAGGAGAGCCGGGAGGCGGGGGAGCGAGGGGGTGGGCAGGGGCCGCGGGAGGAATGAACTGGGATGGGAGGGGGTGCAATCAGATCCCGGGTGCGTGCGTGGCGTTTCTGGGGCGCGAGAACCTCACACCTCCCAGCCGTATTCCTGCCCGCTGAAACCGCGTCGCATTGCTGCTTCCAGCCGTTTGTGGCTGCCCGGTTGCCCGCCGCATACTCCTGGAACCTGGAATCCGAACCCCGCTATCTGCAGAGGCCTGGGGAGGAGAGGCGCCCGCCCCTGGGTGGGGAAGGAGATTCGAGGGGAAAGAATTCGTGAAACATTCATTTATGGACGACCGGGGAACTGATTTTTATTCCTGGTGGACAGCGGGATTTCTCATTTCCCGGCACCTGTCTCACTCACCTATGCCCCTCCACCTCTGATTTCTTTGGCCTAGATATATACACACGCATACACCAAAAAGCAGTGAACTTGCTCCATCATAGGCAAATGCAGTACACAGAGATTGGATTCCATCTCTATTCAGTGAGTTCCCAATATAAACTAACCCAACGAACGTCGCCTCAGCTTTGCAGAATGCTACAGATTGGTGCTGGGACAGTTCAGGGCAGTCGTTCCATCGCAAGACATCCGAGATTTTTAAAATTCTGCTTTTAGATGACCCCCCTCCCCCGCATTGCACTTGACCCGAAAGTGCATCTCTGAGTTGATTTCCACAGCCCCACCGCTTTGTCGGTCCGAATGGTTCACGGTGCCAGACGGTTCTCAGGAAACGCAGTGGTGCGGTGAGCTGGTGGCCCACCGACCCCAGCTGCAGGGGAGTCGAGGCTGCCACGGCCCCAGCCACCCTATCCTTAACAAAGGGAAGGTTGGCAGGAGCCGAGAAAGAAACGGAAACGTGCAAATTCAGAAATTCCTTTTGTTCGGCTAAGGTGATGGGGGCCCAGGGCTGGGCCCGGCTGGACACCACTTGTGTGCTCCCTGGCGGAAGGGTGGCGGCTCCAGGGGGCTGCCCCTGGCCAGGCTTCTGGTTGTCGCTTCCAAATGAGCCTAATTTCCAATCCACTGCCCGCCAGAGCCCAGCCCTGGGGACTCTCAGCCGCCCTCCGCCAAGACCTGGCCTGATCAGCCCAGTCCCTGGCGACTCATTGGAACCTCCAGGGGGGAGAAGGGGTGGAGTGGGGGTAGGGGTGGGGGTGGCGGGGAACAACTCCTGGCCGCCAGTTCCATTTGTTGCGCTCTTTTCCTTCAACACAATAAAAGTCAAATTAATTGATTCATACCATTAATTACAGAGCATAGCGTGAAAAGCGACGCTTCCCCTCGGTTAGAGCTCTATTGTGTTCATCCCTTGCTCAATCAGTGTTACCATCTGATGCCGGGCCGGCCTTCACAGAAACTTTTTTTTTCCGACTGGATTAGCTCATGATGAGACGTGCGGGACCTCCTGGCTGCGGCCCCCGACGCCCAGCACACCAGCGGGTCCCAGCGCTTGCGGTCGACTTACGGTAACCGCAGCAGCTCTGCCGATGACCACCCTCGGCCGGCCGTGGACCCTACCTCCACCGCCGCGTTCCTCCTTCGGGGTCTCCGCCCACCCCCCCAGCAGCGCGACCTCCGGGGGCCGGAAGGAGGTGCAGCGGCGACCCCCCCCAAGGGTCCCGCTGGCCCCAGTTGGGAGGTTCCCAGTGCCCTCAATCCTGTTAGAGGTGCAATTGCAGTTTGCAGCCCTAAAGCCCATTTCCAGTCGTCCTGATGGCCCAACTTGCACGGAGATGAAAGGAGCGAGAGAAGGAAGAGAAATGGAGACCTTTTGTGGGTGGAGGAGAGGAAAATGTGAATGTTGGAATGGGGCACAGGGAAGGAGAAATAGGGACCAACATTTCCAGAGTTGCATGGGGCATGCTGGGGGAGAAAGAGTTCACACACAAACACTCACTCACAGTGAACCATACTACCTGGTTCCATCAAGCGCACCTCCCAGGAGGTATTTAAAGAAGATGGCAACCACTGCCTCACCTGTTCAAATGTTCCATATGGTTCAGCGAAAGGGGGGGATGAATGAATAAGACTTCCTCCGTTTGTCCTGGGGTGGACAGAGTCCATGGGACCCACTGGGGAGGTCTCCAGGAACTGGCAATCAGGAGGTCCAGGGGTCCAGGTGGTGGTTAGTGGTGGTGGTAGTGGTAGAGTGTGTGTGTTTGTGTGTGTGTGTGTGTGTGTGTGTGTGTGTGTGTGTGTGTGTTAGCAGCAGAAGCAAGAAAAGTGGAGTCCGGATCGATTGGAAGAAAATTGAGACATCTGAAGGGGGTGGGTGGGGGGTATGCATGAGACTAGGATTGAGAAGAAGTGGATGGAAGAATTTATGAGAAAGAAGGGGAAATTAATTACAATGCAGTTTGAGTTAAATGCTCCGGGCTGGAGGTGGGGCCGGTTAGCAGTTGGGAGGCTGGGATGGCCTACCTGACCCTCACCAGATCCAGCACCCCCAGGCGCTTTCTCCCTCCTCCAGGAAGCCAGACTAAACCAGTGGCTTGGATCACTCCTTGACCGGTGTTGAGCGCACGCTTTTCTTACGACCGGGGGAGATGGGACCAGGTTCTGTCCCATACCAGAGCAGCTTCCCATATCTCCTCTCCCCCCCCCCCCCACTTCTCACAAAGAAAACAAACCGTGGGTAGGGTCCAAATCCGTCTCTCCAGATTCCAAGAGCCCGAGAGGCAGTTTCTTTACACTCTTGGTGGGTTTGTTCAACTATTCCCCGGTGTCTGCCTGGACTGGACCGTCCCCGAATGAAGAGGTGGAAAAACTGAGCTGAGAGCCACCTCGCACCAGCAGAAACAGACCTATTTCTATTTCCTAAGGAGTAACGTTTCCTGCTCTTTCTCCCAGCCTGGGGTGTCCCTCCATATCGCTTCAGGACGGAAACGGGGGGGAGGCTAATTTAGGGTTCTTGTTCGGATTTGCGTCTCAAAACTTCATTTTCGAGGTGCCCAACACGCAGGGCCCACGCCAAGGAGCGCCTGGCATGGCGAGGCACCAAAGGAAAAGGAGGTGAGAGAGAGGGAGAGAGAATGGTTTCGAATTTATTTATATTGGAAATGTATAAACATCCATTCCGTAAAAGGCAACACGTTTAATTAACGATGAGAGAGCAGTTAGGGGCAGAAAGCTAGTAAAATTGTGTGATAAATTTATGGCATTGTTAGCGTGCTTTTAATTATGGCTATTATGTTAATTATTTCACATTAGCATGGAGTTATCAGCAGCATGTCAGATTTAATCAAAACGAG